AGTGACAAGAACTCAAGTCAATTGCGCCTTTCGAGCGCTTCATCACCGGCTCCACTGCAGATTGATATAATGTGCGATAAAAGCCATGAGGCTGCAGCGACTGTTCTCAGATGGTCTACATGTGGCTTCGTTGCTTTACACGCTCTGACTGGATGGTCCTTGGTCGTTATATCGCAGCCTATTAGCAGACAACGCTTATCACGATGGCTGACGAAAAGGAGGTTCAGCCTTCGGTGAAAAGTCCCCCAAAGGGCAAGACCGTCAGCGAGAAGAACGCCGACGTCACGTTACGGCTCCTTGAGCAGCACGGCGATGATTTCGGTCCACTTGCCCCCGAAGCGGAGAAGAAGCTGCGTCGGAAGTTGTACTGGCGCATCATGACGCTTCTTTCTGCTATCAACATCATGCTTTTCGTAAGTTGCTCTCGCAATACGAGTGCTATGGTCGATACTAATTACGTCTTCCTTCTTTAGGTCGACAAGTCAACACTGGGATACGCTGCCATCTTGGGTCTCTTCGAGGAAACCGGTATTAGGCAAGCGCAGTATAACAATCTGAACACCATGTTCTACGTCGGTATGGATACCGGCTCGAATCCTACGTGGTCAATGCTCACTTTTCATAGGGTACTTAGCTTTCCAATGGCCTGGGCACTATCTGATGCAACGGTTGCCTTTTGGCAAATACGTTGCAATCACTGTCTTCATTTGGGCAGTGATCATCTTCCTCCACTGTGTCGCAACTCGATACGCTGGACTTGTGGTGACGAGACTCGCTCTCGGCGCTGCAGAAGCCGTAATCGTTCCCGCAATGGAAGTCACTATCGGCATGTTCTTCAACCGACATCAACAGTCTTTCCTACAGCCCGTGCTGTGGATCACCTGTCAAGCAGCGCCTATCCTGACTGGTTTCATCTCCTACGGCCTGCTATGGAGCACTGGCCCGGTCCTACCCTGGAAGCTTCTTCATGTCGTTACCGGCGGGCTGACGCTCATACTTGCCATCTGGGTGTGGATCGACTACCCCAGCAACCCCGCCGAGGCGCGCTTCCTCACTCTCGAAGAAAAAGTCCACGTCATTCGCCGCGTACACAAAGCCCAGCAAAGCTCGATTGAGCAGAAGCATTTCAAGAAGGAGCAGTTCATCGAGACGATGAAGGATCCCGTGTCATGGCTATTTGCACTGCAGTCATTCACGCTGATGTACTCGAACAACCTCAACTACGGGCAGAAGAACCTCATCACAACCTCCATTGGCATCAAACCTCTTGGGTCTACACTCGTCGCCGCAGCAGGTGGTGCGTTTGGCGTGGCCTGTTGTATTGTTGCTACTTTGGCTTTGCGAAGATGGCCAAGTAATCTAGCTCTCCACGGGACCGTATGGTGTATGCCCGCTGTCGCGGGAGGTATCGCGATGACCATGGTCGACTGGGAGCAGAAGATTGGACTTCTTGGGTGTCTTATCTTAGCTGCATCGACCTACGGCGTCACATATATCATTGCCTTGGGCTGGACCACGTCGACAGCCGCTGGGTACACCAAGAAGCTGACGCGCAATGTCATGTTTATGCTGGGATACAGCGTCGGAAATCTTGTGTCTCCACAGATCTGGATCCCCAGCAATGCTCCGAGGTTCTATGGTGCGTGGGTATCTATGATCACGGTCAGCTGGGTAGGTACACCAGTCATCCTGTGGATCATCCGCTTCATCTTGGCGAGAAGGAATGCGGAGAGGAGGGAGTATATTGCCTCTTTGAGTGATGATGAGCGCGAAGGCTACGTGGAGCAAGTGGATGAGAACGGAGAGATTGTCAGGGTCAAGGTTGACATCGCTGTTTTGGACCTGACGGACCTGCAGAACAAACAGTTCATTTACCCCATCTAGTAGCTCGGCAAAGTTTGAGGCTGCAGTTGAAGGTCAAGGGGCAGTCCTGATCGCCAGACAGCGAACATCACACATGAGAGAATTTGTTCTACTTCGGTCGGCGGATTGAGTATGGTTATGTAATGTTTGCTAAGATGATAGTTAGCCCGGTTATAATGAAAAATACATTACAGCTTGAGATCTCTCTCGTGTTTGGTATTGTTCACATCTATTGGGAACACATAATGTGAAGAAGGGAGCGGGCATTAGGAACACTCTAGACCCGGCGATAACCCGCTGGCAATTACCCCCGTATACTCCTATTGTCTACAGTGGCTGGCCTCGTTACATGCGGAGCGGCTCGTCGCCAATCTTGAATGGTTTCAACGAACGAGAGCGTCGCGATAGCCATCACTGGCGAGAGATGTCTACGAGTGATGAGAGAGGGGAGTGGCGGATGCAGGAGTTCCAGTGTGATGTGACGGAGGTATGACTGGGGAAGTAGGAAGTTGGCCTACTTGACCACTTAAAGAGACATTAGCGACGTCGATGAGGCTTATTATCAAGGCGCCGTCGTCCCAACCATCCCCGTAGACGGCCAACTATCCGTGTGGGTGGGACGCTGTGTTTGGCAATTCGCGGCGCGTCATGCGCTAGCGAGCTTTCCTATCTCAGAGACGACTTGCCTTTTCTTTTAAGGAATCGGGAACCACAAAAGAAAAGGCAAGTCGGGAGCTAAGATTCTCCGTCAGCGACTAGAAAACTTGCTATTTTGGACCAGAAACCAAGGGAGGCTGGCCTTAAGGATGGGGAACTGACTCGGATAGGCAACTTTTCTATCCTGGACATCCGAGATTGGAAAGTCTTGATGCAGGATCGGTCGTAGAGCGCGGGGATTGCGGGGAGCATGTGGGGGTTGTCACTGCAGAACCATATCCCTTAGTTTCTGGACCCTGCCCGAGCCGCTGTCTGCGTCAATAAACGCCACTTTAATGATGGGATTGGAAAGTCCGCGATAGGATAGGCAAGTGGTTACTTCAAATAGGCAACTTTTGGTCCTTCTGGACATCTTCGCCGGCGCTAGAAGTTCAGCCCAGAGTGCGGGATGTCGTAAATGTTCTTGATAAACCCGCGGATTGCTACCTCGCCTCAACGACAGCACTGTGATACATCGAGGTAGTCCCGCGTAAGTCTATGCCCTTGTGGGGAAGTCAGCTGGCCTTGAGGTCGCTCTTGGATATCTATTTCAATGCTCGCCCTCTCTTATTGCAATCGTGTTGTTCTCTTCCTCCTCACCGTCCTTTGCCTTCTTTGCCTCTTCTCCCAAGCATAACACGGCGGTATTACTGTCTCAAGTGACCAAAAGGCCATCCACCATGTATTCCGTAATCGTGCCTGCGGCGGCATTGGTGCTTGCCGTCCTGTACCTCATCGTATATCCAGTCGTGGAGTACTTCCGCGACCCCAAAAGGCTTCGATGCTACCCTGCCTTCAAGCCCTTGGCTGGCCTCACAAACCTCGTCTTCATGCGAGAGGCCGCTCTCGGATTTCGATCGAAGGCTCTCTATGAGAAGCACAAGAAGCACCCTGTGCTACGCATAGGACCCAACTCCCTCTCATATGGAACCGTCGATGCCATCAAGGATATCTACGGCCATGGATCCAAGTGTCTTAAAGGAGAATTCTATGAGACACTGTCCGGAACCCACTTCCATTTGGCAGACGTTGTCGACAAGGCCGAACATGCTCGAAAGCGCAAGGTCCTATCGGCCGCGTACGCCCTCAAGAACCTGGAAAGTTGGGAGTACAAGGTCTCCGACAAGGCGGAACGATTCATCCGTGGCGCCGACAAGGCTTGCACCATGCCATTGAAGGGTGGGAGTCGTCCAGAGTCCGAAGATCTCACATTCGACTACCGTGCCTGGACCAACTTCTTCACTCTCGATGCCATTGCCGACATAGGCTTGAGCGAGCGTCTCGGGTTCCTCGATCAAGGCCATGATCTTGTGCGTGCTGAGCGTATGGATGGCAGCATCCACGATGTTAACTTTCGAGCTTGTCTGCACTCCACAGCGCTTGCCCAGTCCATCACGGTCTGGTCCGCAGAGTGGTACAAGTTCAACCAAAGACTCACATCCTACCTGTCGCCAACCTTCCGGAAGTGGTGGGGCCTTAACAAGGGTTGGGACGGAATTGTCTATCACCGAGCTACCCAGCGCCTGAAGCGGTATCAGGCAGGCGAGAAGTTGTCCGACTTCTTTCAAGCCCTGATGGAAGATAAGAATGGAACGTCAAACGGTCTCGATTGGGGTGAAATCGTTGCTGAAGTGTCTATTATGATGAACGCAGGGTCCGACACAACAGCAATCGCGATGAATAACGTCATGTATTGGTTGTTGAAGAACCCAAGATGCATGGCCAAGCTGCGGGAAGAAATCGACTCGGTTCTCGATCCGGATGAGATCGTGGCGCCATACGACAAGATCAAACATTTGCCTTATCTGCGCGCCTGCTTGGACGAGTCCCTTCGTATCGTGCCGCCGACCACCTTCGGTTTGCCCCGTCGAACACTTCCAGAAGGCGCCTACATTCTTGGAGACTTCATCCCGGGAGACACAACAGTCTCCATATCGGCATACATCGTTCATAGGGACCCTAAGATCTTCCCAGATCCTGAGTCGTACATCCCGGAAAGATGGCTTGGTGATAAGGGTAAAGACCTGCAGCCACACTTTGTCAGCTTCAGTGCGGGAGCGCGTGGCTGTATTGGTCGGAATATCAGCTACCTCGAACAGACTGTACTGCTCGCGAGTGTGTTGCACAGCTACGAGTTTGCCCTGCCATACCCCGAATGGGAGCCCGAACGGCGGGAAGCAATGAACTGCATGCCCAATGCAATGCCATTGAAGGTATGGCCCCGAGAGATCAATTCGGAAGAATGATTTCGGTAACTGTGGTATGGGTCATGACTGGAATGAGTAGACGACAAAGCGCATCAGCATGGATTAGACGAGTTGCACAGACAGTGCGACGAAGAGATATAGAGACTTGACTTTAGTGGTGAAATTTGAAATATCGATGATTATAAATAGTATCTACAAGGAAAACATCAGTTCACATTCGTCCCATCTCTCAGCTTATGTGCTCTCCGCGTCGCGCGCCCGGGCATTGGCGTTCAACATGCCGGCAATGGGCATGGATGGGGGCGAGGGCGAGTCTTCTTCCCACCCCCAAGCCTCTCTAAGTTGGGCTCGTCTGAAAGCAGTCAGTTAGCAAGGCGGGCTCCGGGGTTGTAATGTAATCGGGCCGAACAGGGGGACTTACGCTGCGTGAGTAGGCCATCCTAGTCTTCTATCGGTTTTTAAGAGGATTCTGTACAACTCCTCCTGTTCTTTTCGGTCGGTGAACCGGTCGCCTGCCATTGCAATAGCTATACACCCGTTGCTGTTGTCCACATATTAGGACGTTGTTTTCGGGACGGGCAGCGTGGGGCCGATGGGAGACTTACACATGAGCCGGTGCCGTTCGTTCGTTTGCCTGCGTCCAAAGCATCGTTAGCCACCAGCATTCGTGACGTAGAGCAGCTCAACTGAACGAGGTACACTTACCACTGCAAGCCCGCATATCACTCGGACAGTTTGCTTCAATTCTTCCTCCATCACTCGGAAAGCGGTTCCGAGCCTCGGAACCTTGGGATTGTGTGCAATCAACAACATGCGCGACAGATGATAGTGTTGCAAACCGGTGACCGCGGCATCTGTAATGTATTGTTCCTCCGGAAGGAACAAACCGGCGTCCTGGTTCGCCCACATGGGTTGAAAGTACCACGGCTTTTCCCTCCACCAGTCCTCCAGCTCTTGCTTCAACTCGACGTACGACTTTCCGTGGTGGTTCTCTTGGCCGTAGCAATGGCTAAGGCATGCCGCGCATACACCTATGACCTTGTTTGCGTAGTAGCAGTCCGCCGTAGTATCGTCAGCGTCTTTACGTTCCAATATCCTTCGGATGCTCGGAAAGAAGTTCGGGTGCACGGGCCGAGTGTGAACGAAAGCCATGTAAATCTCCTGCCGGAGCGCCAGCCAGAATGCCGACAGTCGAAGACTACTGAAGTCGGCTGCATTCGCCTGCGCGGCTAGAAGAATCCTGGTGCCCATCAAATGAGATTCGAGTGTCATGGAACCGATGTCGACCTCTTCCGTGAACCGAAGGATCACCACAGCCGCAAGCAAGTTGTCGTCAACTACTGCAGTCGATGAAGACAAAGCCGGAATCAATGACCGAAGGCATCTTTGGTGGTATCTATCCGCAATAACGGCATCAATGCCCATTGTACGACTCAGTCGCTTCGCTGCAGCCGAAAACATGGCATTGAGTAAAGTTGGACAATACACCGCTCGTTTGGGGACTACCCTCGCAAAGTGCCTCCCGCTGTCGCACATGTCAAAAAGCGGCGCTAGGCTGTCGATGAAGTATCGGTACAAGAAGGCCTCTTGGCGGTCTCGCAGAGGCCATAAAGGCGTTTCGACGTACGTTCGGTCATGAGGGGTAAGAGTGTTGTCGAAATTTGGTTCAATCGGTTCGAGGGCGAGATGGATGTTTGGGAAATCCAAGGTGATCTCGCTTCCGAGATCGAGGCGCTCCCATGGGATCACGATGGAAGAGGTGGTCGTATTTGCGTTCGAGCTTGGTGTTTCAGCATGAGTCTGAAGCTTTGGTGAGCGATTCACCGCCTCGGAAGTCGTTGAGTTTGTCGATCGTCTCGGTCTAGTTGGCCGTTGCCTTCTATCCGCGCCGCGTAGATCGCCGTGAGAGCCTCGGGTGCTCAAATCCGATTTTTGGGAACTTAGCTCCGGCACCGGTGAGTTCGGCGCCGAGAGCAAAGCCAGGTAATCCGGAGAGTCAGCCCGGCGTGGCGCCCCGAGATACACATTGTTCTGGCCGTCACCTTCGCCGTTTGGGACGCTAGAGGCGTGAATGTTGACAACATCTTCTGTCTCGTCGACGAAGCTGAATGATCGATTCGTAGTCCGGACCCAAGTCTGATTGTTGGCAAAACTGTACTCGCTTCGGGCAGCCCCTGACCCTCTTTCCGGTTGGACACTTTTGCGGAAGGTCTGTGTTTTAGTTCAGTTGCTCTTTTTGATGCTGGTCACGTCAAGGACGCGATTGGTTACGAACCTGGGGTTTAGCGTATGCCTGAACCGGACAGAATAGCCACGCGTACATTCAACGCCAGACTTGCGGCAATTTGAACATGTCGAACGATTGGAATCACCTGGCTTGGGTCAACACGGCGCTGGACAATCAGGGGAATTTTCCCCGAGTCTGAGGAAGAGGGGGGGGCTTGGTCGTCATCCCCGGGAGGTCGGTTAAGATCCCAGTTGACTGGCACGGCAAGATGACAGATAATGAACATCGCACCATGGGCTCGCTTACATTTCAGATGTCTAGTACGCGGAACCAATCAAAAAGTCAGATAACAAGGTCTTCAATAGCACGAAAGACGCCAATGTCGAGTAACGTGGGGATGGAGGGCACATAGGCCTGAGGGCGTGGATGATGCGCGGCTAGGGAGGAAGAGGCGCAGGGACAATATCCATCCCACCGGTTGATATCCCACCGGAGACGACTCACCTTAGTCTGCAGATCTGACAACGCAATGAATTGTCAGCAAACAGGTATTAAACGGCGTACTGAACCTCAACTGGCTCTTTCAGGCAATTATGCAAGAGATGTCATTCGGTCTCAGAGATAGGGCCGAGATACGCCACGAAAAAAACAAACTGCAGAGCGCGATGAAAAGGGAAAGAAAAGACAGAGAAGGAAAGAAGAGAAGGAAAGACTCACATTACACGGATTCGTCCGGGTCTGGATACGGCTCATGTTCTGGACCCGCCGGGTACTATAGGCATCCTGCATCTCTTCGATGCGCCGACGTGCGGATGCACCGTACTAAGGCAGTGACGTATAAGAGCCTGTGGGCAAAGATTTGCTACTGGAGGGCGACGTGGGATTCATGGGGGAGGAGCAGAGACACAAAGAGACGATTGTGTGTGGTAAACTGGTTTGGTGGTGGAGGCGAGACGTGTGTTGCGGCGGTGTCCGCCCGGCGAAGTCTGCGGTTCTTGGTTTATGACAACTTTGGAATTGCTCTGTTCGGAGGTGTTGTAGGGGCCGGTTGACTGAACCCGGCCCAAGCGGGAAAGTCCTGGGTAACAGGGCGAATTGGCGCGCGAATGTTGGGCCCTCGGGGGCCTCGTAGAAAAAAACAAGGGAGACGGTGGATTGAAAGGGGGTCCAATAGGAAACGCGAGGGAATTAGCACACAAGTTGCCTATTCCTTGTTAAAACGGCAACTTTCCCCCGCACGCCATGCATCCACCGCTAAACCGACAAACTCCACCGGCGCCGCTCTAAGCTCGTGGCGATTAGCTGATGCATCGACCCCGGGGGATGCATATGCGTCCCTGAACTTGGCCAAGAATCCCGCGGTTTATAAACTGTTGGTCGCCAAGCGACTGTCTAGGTAGGTTGTCAAAGATAAAGTCTGGGGAAGTCTGGGGTGAAGGTGCCTGACTCGGCTCGGCTGGGCTGGGTATTGGAGAAGTGCCGGCACGCTTGTCATTTGGGTTTCCTGTGATTGGCCCGCAACATCGTATCGCCATCCTCTTCCCCGGATTTCATGTCATATGGATTGATGGCATCGTCTGATTTGGGTCATTATCACCGCGGACGATGTCTTGTCGGGGCGATGGACGATAGCACGGCGGCGATGTTACCATTCAGCTGAGTTATCGATGTTCACTGAACGCGCGCTAAAGACGAAGACGTGCGAATGACCACTCTCAAGCGCAACAATACTATCGGACTTCTTCAACGATATAAGATGTTGGTTTACCCCAGATTCTGACGGACATCTGCTCCACAGAAGCCTGCCATCACCAGATCTAAGAACCACCTTGTCTCATAGCCATCCCGATCCACCTTCTACTTCCTCTAAGGAAGATTGTTGTTAGTCTACCCCGGTATCCTGCAAGCCAAGATGGACACCAAAGACCCCAAGGAATCTGTCCAGCACAATGAGTCTGTGTTGGACAAACTCTCCTCCGAAGGCCGACTTCCACTAGAGGAGCTTGATTCAATAGAACAAACCGAAACTGGCAAGTTCTCGTGGCTGGTGTCTATCACTGCGGCTATCGGAGGCATGCTCTTTGGTTATGACACCGGCATCATCTCTGCTGTATTGGTATACATTAGTCAAGATCTTGGACACACCCTTAGCTCATCCGAAAAAGAGCTTATCACCTCGATCACCTCCGGCGGGGCCTTCATCGGTGCCATCTTTGCTGGAGCCACAGCGGATCGCTTCGGACGAAAGATAGCCATCTATGTTGGATGCTTCTTGTTCACCGCCGGGGCCATCCTCCAAGCCGCATCGTTCTCCCTGGCAGTAATGACAGTAGGCCGCCTTGTAGTCGGCTTCGGCGTTGGCTCTGCAGCTATGATCATCCCCATGTAAGCCTTGCAGTCCACCCTATGCAACAAACGAAGCGACAACGAACGTAGACTAACCATGACTAGGTACATTGCAGAGTTATCTCCGGCCAAATACAGGGGCCGCATGATTGGTCTCGACAACATGTGCATCACGGGTGGACAGCTTGTAAGCTATGGCGTCGGTGCTGGCTTTGCGCACGTACAGGGCGGGTGGCGGTACATGGTTGGGGGAGGCGCTATTCCAGCCATTATCCTTGCCTGTTTACTGCCTTTCTGCCCAGAGTCTCCCAGACAGCTCATCTATCACGGTAAGTCTGAGGAGGCCGAGAAAGTCATTCGAAAAATCTTCCCGAACGGGACGGAAGAGCAGGTCCAGATGAAGGTTCGACACATCACATTCCACGTCGAGGAAGCGAAGAACATGAACGCCGGCAAGTCACAGTGGTGGGTGCTCAAGCAGCTGTACGTGATTCCCGCAAACCTTCGCGCCTTGATCTCGGCCTGTGGTTTGATGGCCATCAGCCAACTAAGCGGCTTCAACTCCCTTATGTATTATTCCCCGCTCATATTCTCTCTTGTGGGATTCGACAACCCCGTTGCCGTCGGAACCAACATTGCTGGAACCAACTTTATCTTCACTCTTGTCAATCTTCTGCTCGTTGACAGGGTCGGCCGGAGGAGAATTTTGCTCTGCACGGTGCAGTTCATGGGGCTATTCTTGATCGTTGCGGCGGTGGCTTTCAAATGGATTCCGATCAATCACGACTCATCCCTCGGAGAAGGAGCCACGGTGGGGCCACCGGCTATCATTGTGCTCGTGAGCATGGTGTTCTTTGTCGGCTTCTACTCGTCGGGTATCGGCAACACGGCGTGGCTAAGCAGTGAGTTCTTCCCGATGGAGGTGCGTGCCATGGGCACGATGATGCTTACAATGTCCTGCTGGGGCTCCAACATTATTGTGGCATCCACGTTTTTGACGCAAATGGAGAACACGACGCCCTCGGGTGCCTTTGGGTTCTATGCAGCCATCTGCGTGCTCGGATGGGTCTCCATCTATTTCTGCTACCCGGAGGTGAAGAACATGACACTCGAGGACATCCGCGAGGTCTTCAACCACGGGTTCGGTGTGAAGCGCGCGAGACAGCTGCAGAGGCAGATGAAGGCCGACAGAAAGATGGGATTAGTTTCGACTGAAAACGTCAAGGTGTAGGTGGGTAGGGCTGAGAGAGTTCAGATTCGCAGACGTACAGGTGAGCGATGGCGGGGCGAACCCGGCTTTCGCGTGTTTGGGGGAGGTTTGGAGGGCGCTGCGTAGAGCCCGATACTGCTCTGTGTATAAGCTTAAACCCGGACGAGATGCAAAGAAGATCATCCACTTACCGCTGCCACTGTCTTCAGACGAAATCGAACTGTATCGGTTTATCCTGGTGTTGCGAGAGAAACAACGAGAATTTGCGCGACAGCATGTGAGCTTTGGTGATGGCCTCGCAACGATATCGAGATGATGTAGAGAGTTTCTCTAGAGGCAGGGAGATGATGGATAACTCAATAAGACGGGGGTGTTCCTCGGAATATTTACCTTCACCCCACTATTCCGCTATCCCGTCCGGCCTCCGCTCGCCGTGCCCTTCGCCGTCGACGCGGGCTCGAATTCGGGCTGGTGTGCATGTCACTCCGAGAACCTATTTTTTGCGCTATGGGAGCTCTTCCAATGGATGTACACAGACCATCTCATGGGAGACCGCGTGCTTGTTCTCCAGTTAAACAGTCCTCATTCTGACGGTACGTAGCGTAAACACGCCCTGTGAGAGGTCGAAACAGGGACTGGCCTGGGTCGGCTCACAGGCGAGAATTACTTCCGTGGAAATGCTAACCACGCGTGGTAAGGCGACTTGCCTAATCGGGACGTTCGCGTCAAGACCGCCTGCTGCTGTCTAGGCGTGCGTGCCTAGAGTGTAAGACGGCTTCTTACTCGAGTCCGACTGGGGACGAGGCTCTCTCAGTAGTCATGAAGGTCCAAAAATTGGCACTTCGTTTGTCAGGCTTTCATTTGCCCGCATAAAATCCCATGTCGTGATTGTGTTATGGGGCTGGAGACTACAATTTGGCGCTTCGTAGCCGACGGTCGCTTCGACAGACAAAGGACGCCAAACTATCTCGGGAGTGCCCGACGAGATTAGCACTCAGTAGTTGAATCGCATCAGTCATGAAACGGCCCGTTCGAGAAGCCGGTGGAAGATAGTAGGGCTCGTATGTCGCAAAAGGCGTTACTAGCTCTTTACAACTAAGAGGAGCTGTTGATGCACAAGTCACCAGAAAGCTCAGGCTTCAGCAAGAGATAGGTGCTTCTAGTCATCTACAGATTTCTCGCAGTGAGATTATTCAGTTAGATATTACAGTGATTGTGCAATAGCATCGGTGTAGTGACTGCCTTCATCTGGAACAACATCGCCATCGTTGGCCGGGGTACGGTTTCCCCTGATCCCCATTCCGGTTCATCATCACCAGAGTGAAACCCCTGGCGTCCCTGGCAGCATTCAAGTATCAGAACACACAGAACAGCAAACGTCGCTGACATCACCCGGCCTTCATATGATAATGGTAGTTACTGTCATCAATCTACCACTAACGAGGCACTTAAAGCAGCGACTGGCACGATGTACTCGGGCAACCAGCAGATTTGAGACGAGATCGGATGAGGATCTTCTTTGCGAACTACATTTGAGCACGAGCATGTGGAGTCGTGTCGAATAAGGGCGCTGTAGCGCTGCGACTAAGGGCTGTTGACAACTCTCAAACCTTGTTACGGAACTCGGCTAACGTATTCGATACGAAAAATCACAGACGCAGCACAAAAGCCCTGAATCATGTTGAAAGTTACTATGTCTTGTGCGAGTCGAAACCTGGATAAAATGACCCAGGTTGGAAGCGATAGCCTGTCAACTGAGGAACCAATTAGTCTCAGCCTTTCGGCAACGTCCTGCTACGATTCCCTAAGGCAAGGGTGCGCGTCACGATTCACCTAAGGAGGTGTTCAGGAGAGCCCATTCGATTCGACGAATAAAGATGTGAAACGAAAGATGAAAAGTAGACGTGTAACAAACTTCAAGTAATCATCCAGTTGCTGGGGTGGCCATCATGTAGTGCCAGATATCGGCGTCGAGAGCGGCTCGCAATTATCTGTCATTGGCTGAAGCGTAGAGGCTTTCCTCATACAATGCTGTAAGGAAAGTAGGCGTATAGCTCGCTGGAGCATTAGTCGTGATGCAAAGCGCTACAGCTGAAACAACCTGAAAGATCTTACAGCTGATGGGTGCCACGACCCGAGATGCATCGAGGGCCGAGCATCAGGTCCATGGTTGTTCGACGGAGGACCCCACGGTCCGGACGCGTTCAGCAGCTCAGCAGCATCGTGTAGTCAAGGGGCTGTACGGATTACGACGTAGAAGCGGGATTGAGATATTCCTAGAATGCAAATCGCAAGCTTTCGCTCAAACTCTATGCCTACGAACTCAAGTCTGTAAAGTCCTCGACCATTGGCAGCCATCTAAACACCCGGTAATTCCGGGGACATCTGAACTCTGACGACTGTACAGGGTAGGCTGTCCAGTGTCCGCCTTGGCTTTGACTAGGCAGCCGTCGCTTGGTGCAGGCGAAAGCTTGATCCATAAATAATTGATCTAGAAGCACGCGGCCGAAAAGTGGAGGTTGGGCTTGCCTAGCGATCGGCTCGGTCTCTAGGACCCGAAATGGTAAGAATCGACGACACTTGGGATGGTCCCCGACGGATGACGGAATGGCTGGCCCGATGTTGGCTGAGCTTCTGAAACTTGCCCGCAAATCCGACGAAAGATGATGGAGATGCATGTTTTTTGCGGCTGACTTTACGAACGAACTGTGTCCCCGCGGAAGCCTGCCCCGGGTACTGATGGACCGTCGATTCGGTGTGATTCCTGGTGGTGTGGCTCACCGATCACCGAGGTGGGGCTACTGCGAACAGAGGTGACCCTATCCGGCTTGGGGTGAGCGTCTCCACTGGCATCGGTGTGATTCGGTCGGCAACTCTTATCTCGGTCTGTTCACCGGTGATAAGGCAGCCGCCCCACTCAGACCGCCCAAAATTTTGACTTTTGGTACGGCTACTTGGGAACTTTTTCTGCCGCCAGTACATTGTACCCATTATCCTCATCCAACCCCAACTTCTCACACATCAATTGCGACAGCAAATCACCGCAATCATGGCCGGATCCTCGACAACGAAAAGGAAAAATGACGGTCGCCTCGCGCCGCCGTCCAAGAAGCAAAAGAGACAAACCAAGAAGCAAACCGAGGCCGGTTCCGACGAGGAGGAGGGCTTCAACGCAGTCAACCTTCTCGACTCCGACGACGATGATATTATGAACGCAGCCGTCGATGACGGCGCCCCCTCAGACTCCGACTCCGCTAGCTCCGGCGATGACCGCCCGGCACCGAAGAAGCTGAAGAAGCCGACCAAGACGACAAAGTCCAAAAAGCCCAGGGACGCCCCTCGCGAAACCGACGAGTCCGAGTCGGATTCCGACGCAGCAGCGAGCGACAACGAGGACGGCGCACCGCGCAAGAAGAGCAGGCGCAACGATCCTTCCGCCTTCTCGACCTCCATTTCCAAGATTTTGTCCACCAAGCTCTCGAACGCGAAACGCGCGGATCCCGTTCTGGCTCGCAGTACCGAGGCCTTCGAGGCCTCCAAGGCGGCTGTCGATATCGCGCTTGAGGCTAAGGCGAAGAAGCAATTAAGAGCGCAGAAGAAGGAGGCGCAGTCTAAGGGTCGCGTGCGCGATGTGCTGGTTGCGGCGGAGGACGAGGGCACCTCGACGGGAGAGATGTTGGAGGGCGAGAAGAGGCTGCGCAAGGTCGCGCAGAGAGGTGTGGTGAAACTGTTCAACGCTGTGAGAGCGGCACAGGTTAAGGCTGTCGAGGCGGAGAAGAAGGCGCGCAAGGATGGTGTTATCGGTGTTGACCGGAGGGAGCAGAAGATCAACGACATGTCGAAGAAGGGATTCCTGGACCTGATTGCCTCTGGCGGCGGAGGACTGAAGAAGGGCGCACTGGAGGAGGCTTGATTTGGAGAGGGAGGTTTGAGACAACAAAAATATCATGCCGTTTGCCCGATCGCGGCGCGGCTTAATTTCTCGTTTCTGCAAAAATGTTCTTAGAGGAGTGATTTCGTTCCCTCCCAACCATCCTTGATACCCGCCAAATGTCTAGCAAAAGCCCAAGCTTGATGTATCCGTCCCGAAACCGTGATGCCGTGCTTGCTTAAGAACACACCCTACTTTTTCCCCGTGGCCCCCTCCTTTTTTGCGCGGTATTGTATAATATAGTACAGAGTGATTAAATGAAGTGGTATGCAGCGAACGCCCCCATGCTAAAAGTCCTTTTATGAGAAGTCGCTGGCCTGGAGGTTGCGGGTCATGGACGGCAGCTTGACCCTGAGACCGTCGAGCTCCTTTGTCATCGTGACTTGACATCCTAACCTACTCGTCTCGGTCAGGCCGAATGCGAGGTCGAGCATGTCGTTCTCGTCATCCTCGGGCTCGGGCATCTTGTCGTAGTGCTCCTCGTCGACAACAATAACATGGCAGGTCGAGCAGGCGCAGGAGCCTCCACACGCACCTGATGCATCAAGTCAGCCTATATTCTCCAGCGAGTGGGACATAGAAGCACATACCCTCCATCTCCAAGTCATTATCTTGCGCGATGTCAAGGAGGTTGTCTCCTTCGCTGACGGCAATCTTGTACTCGTCGCCGTCCTTGTCGATGAAAGTGACATAGAGCCTGCGTGTCTGTGAGCAAGAGCTCTCAAAACCTGTATGTGTCCATCCTTACTCTTCGCCCGCCTTGGGAGGGGTAATGTGGCCATGCGACTTGAAGGCCGAGACGGAGAAGCTGCGCGCCGAGGGCAATTGAAGCTTGTTGAGTGCGAATGACCGTATCGTCCTTGAGGGTGCTGTCGAGCTGAAGACGGATCGGGTTTGCTTCTGCAAAGGACGAGCCTGCCTGCTTGCGCTGGCGGCGAGCCTGTAGAGAGATCTGGTGGAAGACATAATATCGCAGGGTCCGGTTCTCGGCGGGCTTTTGCTCGGGATATTCGTGGGCAGGCGCAGAACAATCGGATGCGCTGGACAAGGACAATGATCGGACGTTACGGACAGCTTAAAAACAAAGGCATGCCCCTCAGAGACGGCGGTTGAGCTGATGAGACCGCAATTTGTCGGTGTTTGCTCTGTTGGTTGGCGCTGTGAGCAAGCCGGGGGCCGAAGAAGCGTTGGAAAGCCTTCGCTTGAATAAATGCGCAAGGGAAGCGGCACTGTGGAGATGTCATTGGATTCAGAGAAATTTCTATAGGCTCCTTTGGGTGGTGGGAGCTCCGATAAGGCCCACACCCCTCGGCCTTATCGGCCGGCGATTCGCGATGTTCCGCCTCCGGAGGGTCCATTTCGCGGGCGCTGACGGCAAATGACGGAAAGAAGGACGGATGGCCCGAGCGTCACAAGGAACCCCTCTCCAGCGCAACGCAAGCAGCGGGCAAGCGCGTGTGTTGGGCAGTCATTGTGTGTTTTTTGTTTTTTTTTCTCATTTGCTGGTTGTCGTTGCTTGGGCTTCCCGCTAAGCGCCCCGCTAATCTTATCTCCGAGCGATTTCCATTTCATCATGCAAAATTGGGAGCGGTGGGCAGCTCCTCAAATCATGCACCACCAGCCTTGAGCTGCAAAATTCACCCGCCAAACACCAAAATGTCGACGCAGCGAGAAGGGGTGAACCCCCTCAGACCGTACTACAGGCCGCCGACCATTGGCGAGGCCCCCGATCCCACGTCTGCTGCTGCTGCTGCTGCCTCCCAGCCCAAGCCTTTCGCCCGCCATGCCGCAAATGCGACCAGCGAGCGGTACGCGTCCAAGGCACGCGACATCTTCTCCGATATCGACTACAAGGACTACATCAGCGAGCCTTCTCCCTCTGTTGTCCAAACTGTCAGGGACCTCGTCGACGAGTTGCTATGGAAATACACCTCCGTCCTCATGGCTCAGCCATTCGAGGTGGCCAAGACGGTTTTGCAGGTCCGGAGCCATGATGATCTGACTCTGGCACCCCCCGCCTCCGAGCAACCCACGCCCCTCGCCTCTCCCGTGCTGGAGAAGAAGCAACCTGTCTTTGGAAAGAACGTCTGGGACGAGCCTGGATCCGAGTCCGACTCTGACCTCGACGAGCCTGCATACTTCACCTCCAACATCCCGACGACGCCGACGCCATCCCAACCCAAGGATGCCCGGCACCACGAACCCTCCCCTCCTCGCACCCCGGCAGCGAAGCAGCCGCTGCCGCCACATCAGCTCAACATTCGACGACCAGACTCGTTGATGGAGGTTATTGGGCAGCTGTGGCAGAAGGAAGGTGCGTGGGGCGTGTGGAAGGGCTCAAATGCCACCTTCCTATACTCCATTCTCTCGTCTTTGTTCGAGAACTGGTCGAGAAGCGCTCTCAGTGCCCTGTTCAACGTCCCAGACCTTGGCGTGAAGGAGGATATCGACCGTCTCATTGACATCGCGTCGCCCTATCCGTGGGCTTCGCTGTGCGTAGCCGCGGCCGCAGCCGTAGCAACCGGCCTGATTCTTGCACCTCTGGACTTGGTCCGCACACGGTATGTCATGCCATGTTTGATTACCAACTGCTTTCAGGGAGATGTTTCTGACACTTTGATAGACTCCTCGTCACCCCGACTTCGAAGCAGCCTCGCCGCACGCTGGCGACCCTCCGAGCCCTCCCCTCCTACGTCTGCCCCTCACCGCTCGTTCTCCCCACGATTCTGCATTCGCTTATCCACCCCCTGCTCACCCTCTCTACACCCCTGGTTCTCCGCACACGATTCCTAATCGACAGTCGAGTGTCGCCGACGACCTTCTCCGTCGCCAAGTTTTGTGCTTCGTCTGTTGCTCTCTTCGTCAAGCTTCCCCTCGAGACCGTGCTGCGTCGTGGCCAGGTCGCTGTCCTGAGCACCTCCACATATATCCGTGCTCTCGCCGGCAAGGATCAGCTGATGGAGACAATCATCCCGGCCGGGCGGTACAATGGCGTCTTGGGCACCATGCTTTACATCATGAATGAGGAGGGTACGCGAGCGGTTTCTGTCCCGCCTGCCCCGGTCAGAAGGGGCAGGGCACCCAAGCCCAAGGTCGCCGAAACGGTGTTCCGAAAGGGACAAGGCAAGGAAGGCCTTTGGCGGGGCTGGAAGGTCAGCTGGTGGGGGCTTGTTGGTCTCTGGACCGCCGGTATCATTGGAAACAGTGCCGAAGGCGAGTTCTAGATGCCAAGCTTCAAGTAAGCAACAAAGAACCACAAGCCAACAGACAACGACTGGTCGTTACAACCGAGTACGAGTTCGAAAGAGCGAGAGTGCGGAGAGAGTGCGTGAGAAAACTGGTTTGCTGTTGTGCTAGACGTATCCTGGGACGACACGGGAAACAACATAGGCGTTTGGGGACATATTTTTGGGAACTCCCTGAACCACTCTCCTCTACGACGATGATGAGATACGGTATGATATCCTCCTTCTAAGATTTTGCTATTGTACAAACCCGCATCAATGAGAAAAGAACAACCCCTTTCCTGAAATACAAGACAAAACAAGAAACGGCCGTACCTGCAAAATCAAGAAAACGCTCGTAATTCATCTTCAGCTAGCATCTCTCGCGCTGAGCCATACCCCTAATAGAAACTCTTGTGTTTTAAATTTAGTTCACCACTCCCTACTGTGTTCCTCGTCATCTCGTCCTCACGTGCGTCATGTCGTGCGGCAAGCCGTGTCACCTCGCCGTCACATTTAGATGTGGTCCGTATCTGTGGAATTTCGCTAGAACCTCCCTTCCGTACGACCTGGAACCTGGCGCAGAATGGATAAAAGCCTGGAGCGAAGGCAGGCCGAAGCCTGCGTCGTACGGGTGCCTGCATACAGGATGTCATGATGGCTCCTGTCAGTCACACACCGTGGGGCTCATCCCAACCAGTCACTCCCGCCGCGAGGTCCTCTCTAGCCCTCGGATTAAGTGCTCGTTTGAGAAGGGTTCGTCACAATCGTCACAGGAACCAAGAAGAGGAGACGCACAAGAAGGCACGGCGAGCCAGGGGCGCGGGATGCGTTTGCCGCACTACGCGCCTCCGTCGTCCCATCACCATCACCACCGCCCTTGTGCCAAGGCATGTCGTCTGCAAGCCTTGCCTCAGTATCCGAGGCTCTCGAGGAATTCCGTGGACCGGGCCGTCCAGGCCGTGGTTTATTTGGGGTTCATGTCATGGGACTTTGGTCGTCCTGGGGTGACATTGGCGTTTTAGTCGGGGTGCTGCAAATATCTCACGCTAACTCGTGGAGGGTTGGGGGCCGATAACGACCTGAAGAGGCGATGCCAGGCGGCCGCCCCCTCGAGGATGAGTCTGCATCGCAGCCTACCGCATGAATAATTTTGGGATAAAAGCCCTGCGATGGTCCGTTCTCTTCATGTTTGTCTCGTATATTGCCCCAAGGAAAATCAATGATTCTGTCGACTTTTTCAAAACTGTCTTTGGCCGCAATCTCCACTCTTCTATTCGTTGTTCGGGTATCAATCAATCACACGATGGCCCGCTCGTCTCTATTCCCCATCACATCGGCTCTTAATGCCTTTTTGCTCATCTGCATCATCCTCAAGCACGTCGCCATCGGCGTCGCGCGCTCGACAGTGCGGCACGCATGCATGGTCGTTCTGTTCCCTGTCATGCTCTTGCATATTCTCATCATCGAGGGCTGAGACAGACGACTCTGTTCGTTACTCAAGGGCGGCGTCGCAGCTACTCACGATGCCGCCCGGCCTTCTGCCTCATCATACCTTTGCACCATCCCGGCGCAATCAAGGGAAGACAAATGTTGCGGCGGCGTCGAGGCCGCGTGTCTCGGCGCCCTCGCTTGAACGGATTCAACATCTTGTCTCTGCCTGAATCGCTTCGGTCTTGTCCCACTTGTGGGCTTGAGTCAAGTGGTGATTCGAACGCCGCGTCAAGGCGCTCTTGTTCACCTATACGGAGCCTACGCCGGGCCCGGTCGGTGTGGGGCCATGATCCCCGGCGCTTTCCTCCGCGGGTAAAATACGCATGCACGGCCATGCGCAGGTTGCCGCGCCGCTTGCTAGTACACGCGAACCTGTAACATCATTTGGGATCGTCGTTGTGTCTGAGTGCTTAAATTTTGTTGTTGCACACACATAGCCAGCCATGTGGCAAAGAGGCAGCTGTGCTTATGATGGACTGGGCCAGGGATCGAATGGCGGGGCCGTTCCGGGATGAAAACATCGCTGTTTATCAGCATATTTGCCTTTGGGGTGGTTGTCGCCTGTCACCTGTCAGATTTTGTTACCGGTGCTGCGGCCTTGGAGCCTAGCCAGTTCATTGAAATAAATTATTCCGCACATCATCTGTTCGCCAAGGTTCCGAGATTGTTCGAATCCGCCTGGCCACCCCCTTCTGGGCGGACCTTTTACGGATTCGGACGACGGGAGAGACATTTTCGGTTACTTCTACGCTAGAGATAAGTTGAGACTCCGATTGCGGCGAACTGCGGCGGCAAAGACATGCTTGATGTGGCAGGTCCACTTTCTCTATCCCTTTGGTATGGCCCTGGGAAGATTGAAGCGCCATTTCTCGCGTGGTAATCGCATGTTGAAGGACATTCAACGACACGTCGCAAGTTGACATGAGCTATCAATAACGGTGGCTCGGATGGAAACCTCGCTTGCTTCTGCTCCAAAGTCGCTAACTTGTGATTTGATCTCCTGCACTCAGGCGAAGACATGGTGATGGGTACCATATCCCTTTTGGACTTCACAAGACGGCCAGAATTCTTCTCCATTGCCCTGCCGAGGCTTCAGTTCCCCTGGAAAAGATTCGATTGGACATCGGCGTCTTTTGACAAGAGGTGACGTTGAGACATCTGGTTACACGTCTCCTGACTATCGATCTTGACAGGAGGCTAGACTGTGGGATGAAACTAGTTGGGCGTGGTGACTGAGACGTTCTTACC